GAGAGAGAGAGAGAGAGAGAGAGAGAGAGAGAGAGAGAGAGAGAGAGATATGTTGGAGAGACAAAGAAGACAAAAGAAGACAGGTGAAAAGAAAGGGAGACAGAGAAAGACCTGGAGACAAAGGAGAGGACCTAGCTGTGGGAACAGCTCCCTTCTTGCCAGGAAAGCATTCTGTCTTCCATTCTGACTTCTGCATAAGCCCAGGACCTCAGACACAAGAGATGAGGATGAAATACATTGGTCCTGCTTACAAGATGTGCAACTTTCTGCCCAGGCCACCAACCTGCTTCCGGGTGAGAATGAGAACACACGCAGAGGCAGGCTGGAAAAGCACAATAGCACCTTTCCTCCAGCCCCTTTGGGTGTTGCATAGTAAAAGAAGTAAATGTTCCATCTTTTTCCTGTTTTTATGGGTTTCTGATTTTCAAATGAAGTTTCTCCCTCTCTCTTCTTCTTCCTTTAATACGTATTCCTGTATGGACACAACCCCTGTCCTCAGCGGGCTTATCTCCACATAGGCACATAGGGCCGAGAAGTCGGCCAAGTTCTCTCCATCCTGTTCATCAGAGATGCCCTGAAGTGAGCAGCAGGTCCCATCAAATGCTGAGTGGCACCCCGCCAGCCAAGGCATGGCAGGGTCCTCAGGGGCAGGGGTACTGGCAAATGACGAGTTTAGGGCTTGGGGTTGTTAGAGCTGAGTGCTGAAGGATTGGTACATACCCTAGAGTTGGGATGAGATTAGAAGTTGCCTATTAGGCGGGGTGAACAGCATGGGGGTAAACAAAGTTATCGCACCTCCCAGAGCCCTGGGCACTAGAGTATTGGCACTAGCAAGGGGATAGGAGTGGAGGATGCTTGAGTGGGAAGTAGGGACTTGTTCTGAAGGACTTAGATGCCAGGGGCTTTGGACCTCATCACATGGGAGAAGGAACCAGGAAAGGGGTTGAAACAATAGGATTTTAGAAGCATATTTAAAACCTTCAACAAATAATGAGGGTATTTAATCCAGACCAACTTTGTGTTACTCATTGCCTGTGTTTTATGGAGCAGCATTTGCAATTAGGTTAGAATGTCTGGTTCGTCTTAGAGTGCTTTATTTTGGGGCATTGGCCATACTTATTAAAAGCCAGAAACTTGTCTGGGTGGAGTCCTAGTCATGTTTAATGGCTTGTGCTGAGATGTCTTCAGAGTTTAGACCCCTACTTGAGGAAGAGTAGTAATGTGCATTCAAGCTCTTAATATTCATGTGGATTTAAGCTCATATTTTCTTCTGAGGAATCAGACGATTATGTAGTTACCCAGTGTAGGTGAGTGCACCAAGTTCGGCGGATGCAGTAAAGAGCCACCCGCTAGATTTATGGGGGAAGTGGAGTCATTGCTCTGAGAATAAAATATTCATGAAATAAAGATGAGAACTGCACAAATGGGAAATGACATGAAGAGTGAGGTATGACTCATCCATCACTGGGCTGGGAGCTTGGAATTCTTGCTGCTTCCTGCCTAGCCTGCCCTCCCCGGCCCCTGGTTCCGCAGCAGACAGGAGCTGACAGGGGCCACCCAGGTGACAGTGGCAGAGGAGCAGCGGGCCCCTCTGTTTTGGCCAGGGGGCAGCCTCTGCCTCTGTGCCCCCACAATGCACTCCTGCTGTCCGTGGAAGATGCGATCCTAGGGACACTTCCTTTGGCTCCATGCCCTCCCTTGCCTCCACTTGTCTGATGCCTCTTCAACTCCATGGAGAGAGTTTCTCTCCTGTTCCTTTTCCCTCTTCATTTATGCCAACCTTACAGTGTCACCATGAGCTTCAAAGAGGGAAGGTGTGCCAAGTGCCTTACGCAGCACCTGCCCCACGGGACGTGCTTAGTGAATGGTGGCCAAGGGACCGCTCCCTGGAAGGTCCTTGTGATAAGACTCTCGTCGAGTCTCTTCAGCACCGTTTGAGGAAGGCGTCCTTATTCCTGGGGCAATGGGACTCAGAAGCGACGTGGGCAGAACTGGGATATGAATGAAGTGTCTGCCACTGGGCCATCCTTCAGGTGTGCACTGGAGCAGGAGTTCCTACCTCGCATTTTTCAGAGGGTTTGGAGAATGGAGAGTATAACTGAGAATTCTTCCCTGGGCCAGGATCCTGGCTCCTGGCGAGGCATTTGCATCCTCTGAACCTCCAGTTTCTCTCTCCTGCTGAAAACTGAGTCTGGCCCAATGGCTACACTGTTGATGTAAGAGCACTTGGCATGATGCTAAGGATAGTAAGTGCATGTCTTAGCCCTTAGCCCAGGATCTTCCAGTAAGAAGGAATGAGCACTTATCATACTCAAGTGTGTATCTCAAAACCAGCTCAGACTTGGCTCCCCTCTGCAAAATTCCCCTGCCCACCTCCATGGGCCACCTCCCTGTGTATACACTTATGTTGGGGGTGATTCTGAATTGCCACTAATGATGTACCTACCTATGTCTGCTGGCACTTCCCACCTCTGCACCCCCATCACTTTGCCTAGCATCTGGAACACTGGAACCTCTCGTTAATGGATGATGAATATAACTGAAGTATTGAGCACCTTCTATGTGCCAGGGACTGAGATGGATGCTTTACCAAGGACATTAGCTCATCTGGTAGTAGGAGCTCAAAAGTATTTATCGAATGAATGAACTGGTCTAGGCTTCTATAAAGAAAACGTTATTAATGTTAAATTGTTGTGTAAATCATTGCAGCTGGATCAATGGCTTTCAATTCTTGCTGTACATCAGAGGTGATTCATCCTGGAGCTTTTTAGAAATATAGATGCTTGGGCTCTCCAAAGGACTGTATTAGGCAGATCTGGGCAACTATAATTTCTAGAAGCTCCACATGTGCTTTGATGTCCTGGCAAGGGTGAAAACACTGGCCCACACAACCCTTCTAGGCAGAAATTGAGAACGCACAGCCCAGGTGTGGGAGCTGGGCAGATCTGGGCTCCAATCCTGATGCTCCACTTTCCATGGAATTGTGTAACCTAGAGTAAGACTGTTCACCCCAAGCCTTGGTTCACCCTGTGGACACCTGCTCCAGTCACTTATGACATGAGTTGTTCATTAGCTCCCTCCTCTCATTGCCCTCCTCTACAAAATCTGCAATTGAGCCCATCAGAACTTGTTCTTATTGTGCTCTTAAAACTGGCCATCATCTCCTGAGATCACTTTACTGACGTAACTTTCAGCTTCTTTGCTCCTACCCAACCATTACTCTCAGATGCCCAGCCCAGCCCTTTGGGGTCAGGCAAGTCTTCAGAGCAACACTTAAGAAGATAGCACTGATGGTGTTTCTACCAGCCATTGGGTCTCATTTACCACTTGGTTGGGCTCAAGGATGTCTCCTACAGTCCCCAGCCATGTGGGAAATCCCTCAGTTACATTTTGTTCCTGCCCAACTTAACGTGGGAGCCATTGGATGCCAAAATCAGTTCTAAGGAGCCCCACGTGTGACTGGCTGTTACATAGATGATAGTTTAGTTAATTACAGTTTTCCAATACACTGTATTATTTTCACATTGGTGAACAGTGGCTTAATTACAGAACTTTATCTCTCTGCAAGACAATGCCTGGGAGAGAGTCCCCAGGAACCTCTGTTGGCGCATCTGTCGTCATGTTTAATATGAGGTGAGAAATGCAGAGCTGGAATTCAGCCGGATTCATGGATAAATTCATTCAGTAAATTTTATGTCATATTCAGGGATATTTGATTAGGTCAGTTACCTACAGTAAATTAATGAAGGCAGCAGCAAGTTTCCAAGTCTCTTTTCACAGCTGTCATTACCTGGTTGAACACCAAAACCTTGAGCTAATGAGGGTATAAACTGATGTCGTTCACATAAAAAAGTCCATTATTTGAATTTGCATAACATAATAGAATGCGCTATTTTGTCTAAAATATAGGTAATTATTCAGATCACTCCTGCCTCTTTCCTTGATTAGGCAGGTTATTTCTGTGTCTTCTTTCCCTGGCCAGGGCCCACCAAAAATGACTTAGTCTGTGCCAAATCTGTGGCCCCAGGTGATCCAAGAGGACAATGCTACCAGGATTTCCAAGCTAGGTGGTTTTCTCCAGTTCTCTGCACTTCGGCTCTGCCCCTGGACAGCTGTGGAAGCAGGAAGCTTGGAGGACATGTGGGGAGACTCAGAAACACGCTGCATGTGTTTTCCAGAGAGGATACAGAGGTGTTTGCGTTAGTCCCACTCACTTTCTTGTCCAGCTAAACACCCAATACAAGAAGCTTATGATGACGCCCTCTTCTTCCAGGGTTTGCTTTGTGTTGGGGCTACCAGCAGGAATAGACTTTGCATAGAGTAATGTTCCATTGGTGCAAAGAGGATGAATTTCTTGACTGTCATTTTAGGTGGGAAGGTGCCCCTGGAAAGTTTGTTCAGGTGATGTGGACACTTTCTCTGTATCCTGACATGGACAGGTAGAGGGCAATGAATGACCTCAAATAGGGGGTGATAACCATTGCACAGCTTTGCAGTCCTTCCTGGAACTGCTTCATGTGTCCTGAATTTGAGGCAAGAAAAAATATGTGTGGATTGAAGAAACTATTGATTCAAGCTCTTTATTCCAAAAATACTAACTCTAGGGTAATTGGGCTAACTCCACAACCACACTCTGGGTTGGTCTTTATTCCAGAGGCTTTGATGTTACCTTATCAACTCCTCACAGCTGTGATTATTATGTTATTAATAGATTAGTGCCTATGCCCTATCACTCCCAGCCAAACCCCCTCCTCCTTGTACTTTACCAGTGAAAGATTTCATCTCAGAGACCTTCTTTGCTCACATTTTTCTTCAGAGGTTGGTGGGTCTTCCCCCCAAAGCTCTCCTTATGTTTGTTTCCCTGGCATCTTTCACTTTGTCCTCACATTTAACTCTCTTCCTCCCTGTGGTCTTCAGTGATAGGAAGTTCTCGTTTTTCTATCTTCAGACCCCAGCAAAACAGGGAGCATCTCCTGAACGCTTGCCCTGGCCTAGTGCTCATGTGAATGCGGAAAAGGGCCAAGCCCTTTCTTCCAAATGCCAGAATCCAGAGTGAACACATCCGGGACTAAGACATTTGCCTCCCACTTTAAATGGGTCCACTCTTAAAGTTTACTTATTTGCATACCAGTGAGATCCGTAAAGCCCTGAAAGGAAACTAGGAAGGAGGAGAAGGCAAGATTATGCAACTAGCTAGGTTTTCCAGTGATCACAGGACCACTTGGTCATCAGTTTTCCTCCGATGGAAACTAAAGGCTCTGCCAGCAGGGGCACCAAGCTTGTCCAACTTTTTTTAAACTTTGCTGGCTGCAAAGGGAAGGGAAAGTTATATTATTGGGTTGTTGGAAAAGTCATGACACATTTTTGCAACAAAAAAACATAGAAAAAATACATCATGACTTTTCCAACAACCCAATATTAAACCCTGAGAGTGTCTGAAATTCTCTCTCAGTTGCTCCAGCTTCCAGGCTCTCTGGTACCTATCTTGTGTCTCTCATACGTTTTGAAATGAAAATAGCCCTAGACACAAATATTTACCAATGCAGCTCTGGCAATGACTTTGGCTAATGCAGATGAAGGAGTTGTGTCATGAGCTTATCAGGAGCTCCTAGCAGCCATGAGAAGGCCAGAGAAGCAGGCGGGGTGATGGCTTGTCCAGAGGGCTGAGGACAAGATCCAGGTGGATGGCCACAGAGTAGAAAGTTTGTTGAAGCACTAACGCTATAATGGATGGAACACCAACAATTTCTGTCTCTTTATCTCTTTGTTCAGGATTCAGATTCAGACCCAATGTCCTTGCTTGGGTCATGGTCCTGTCTCTTGGGTTACAGGTAGTCAGGGCACTTGCCAGACTCTTATCCAGGAGGGAAGAAGTAACTCTCCTCAAACAAATAAACCACGGACTTCTTGGATTAGGTGAATTGTTCCTGAGTGGCCCTAAAACAGCCAGTACCCAACATAACAGTTAAAAAATACTATTAAAAATTGCTTCACATGCATGAATAAAAACAAAACATAAACAAGCCATAAAGTAAAGGTTAACAGAGCTGGACCAACCATGCCGTAAGACACTTAAAACACATTGAATTCCGCTTGTTATGTATTTTACAAACTGTTGAAAGAGTCAGTGAAAGACATTGCATGCATCATATTTACTTGAGTAAAGTAGAAGTCTGGTCATCTCCAGCCACTTTTCCCACTTTTACCCGTGACATTTGCTACCCAGAGGTGACCCCAGCTCAGAGGTGGTCTCCCAGTATCAATCAGTTGAGCTCGGCTATGTGGGTCTTCAGATCACTGGAATCTTGGCTCTGCCCACAGGCTGTGCCAATAATTTCTGATGCCCTTTCCATCTACGACACCAAGACATGCCCATAGTCTCCTCCAACCTCAAATAAGTTGGCTTTCTTATTCTCAGGTTTCCTCCTGGCCTGGAATGAATTCTCCATTGTCTTATGGGTGTTGTCAGTTTTCTCTTTTGGGGAGAAGTCCTGGGAAAAGAGCACGTGTCACACTGGAGGCCAAGCTCTGTGTGCCAGTCACGAACTCAACAAAGGTGTAGAGAGAGCAGTGGCCCTGCTTTCTCTATCCCAGGGGATGTTGGGAGTAAGACGTGAACTGCACAAACAGCCTCCTTGCCTGAGAAAGGCTGGGTTGAGCCTTCAAGGGGGTCAGCCTCATGGTTGAGCACTCACGTGAGGGGAACTCAGAGCACTCATTTAGGGTTCCCAATTCCTGGGGTAAATCCTCTCCTACCAGCCCTAGGGGAGCTCAGAGTAGCCACTGGAATGGTCCTTAGATTGGTGTGGTTTCTCCTTTTGAAAGCACATTTGGGACTTTTACATTTCTTGGTTTTTCTCACCACCCTACAAGGTGGGTGAGGGATAGGTGGTTCTTTGCACTGTGTGCATGTTAGACAGCCTGTAGTGTTCTCTCTTGGAGTGAGGCTTTGACCTGGTGTTTCTGCTGGAGTTTGACATCAGGGAAGTGTAGGCATTGGCATGACCCTGTAGGCAGTGGCACATTGGCACTCAGGAGGCCTGACAATAGGACTGCAGCTTCTAACACCTAGTGGAAGCTGTTGTGGCTCCTCCATTAGGCACCTGGCCTTGTGCCCACCTCAGTGGGGGAAATGAGGAAGTAGATTACAATATCTTCTGTTACTAAGGAGCTTCAGAGCAGTTTGATGTCCTTGGTTTATTCTGACACTGTTGACTAGTCATTAAGTTATTTGAAAAGAATGACATTTGTCCTGTTTTCTTTTCTTTCTTAAGCAAATAGATAAACAAAACAATGTCCTTGATGCCATTCACCATTTGGAGAGATCAGGTGGGAGGGTCACCTTATTGACAGCCTCAGGCCTCATGATACCAGGAAATTCAGCTGACCCCTGGGAAGGGCCTTTCTTCACCGTCCCCATCCCTCATCCCCAACCAGGAACCAGGCCCCACACGCCTTCCAGATAGGGACATGCGCCATCCCTGACATCCCTGGAGATTTTTCTCAGGGTTAGATAGGACTTCTCTTCCTTGCTCCAGGCTTCTAAGTGTTGCCACTGCCTCTCACTGGACTTGGAGCCCTGGGGAGCTCCTTGACCTTTATGAATCCGAGCTTCCTTTATATAGGGTGGAGGTGATTACACCAAGTCTTTCGAGCATAGATGGCAAATGTATGGGGCACATTAGGGGGGTCAAAGAGCATATCCTTTTATTCCCATGGGGACAACTTCCTCCTTCTGTCTCTGCCAGTTCTTCAAAGCATCACTGGGTGTGAAGACAATGATTCTAACTGGAGTGCAAAGGGGAGGCAGATGCTGCCAAGGCTGGCTTGTGGGGTCTTTGCTAGCTAGGGCACTGTGCTAGGCTACTGGGCCCTCATAGCTGAGGGCTGGCCATACAGCTGAGGGGAGGTGAGAGAAATGGAGGCAGGCTTAATGGCGTGGGGTCTCCAGGCCTCCCAGAGTTGTAGAAAGCCAGCCTTGGCTCTTGGGAGGGCTGGGCCTGACCTTCCTGTGCTTTGCCTCCAGGACAAAGAAGTGAACTTGGAGCAGGTCCATCGGCGCATGAACAGTCTAATGGATGAAGACATTGCTCACAAGCAGATTTCGCCAGCGTCCATCGAGCTCTCGGCCCTGGAGATGGGGGGCCTGGCTCCCAGCCAGGCCTTGGAGCCAACGAGGGAGTACCAGAACACCCAGCTCTCGGTCAGCACCTTCCTGCCAGAGCAGAGCAGCCACGGCACCAGCCGGACACTCACGGCAGGGCCCAGCAGCAATCTGCCGCTGCCACTGAGCAGCTCAGCCACCATGCCCTCCATGCAGTGCAAACACAGGTCGCCCAACGGGGGGCTGTTCCGCCAGAGCCCCGTGAAGACCCCCATCCCCATGTCCTTCCAGCCTGTGCCTGGAGGCGTCCTTCCAGAGGCCTTGGACACCTCCCACGGCACCTCCATCTGACCACGTCGCCTGCCCTCCTGCCCGCCCATCCACCCACCCGACCAGCAGAGCTTTTTAATACAAGGAAACCACACAAACCACACACACACACACACACACACACACACACACACACACACACAAAGACTATTTCATTTTTCTTGTACATATGTGTAAATAATGACAGAATGGAGTGGGGTAAAAGTGTATTTTGAATATTCCCAATTTTCGAAGTCAGTAAAAAAACCCACAAAAACTGTATGAATGACTTTGTAAATTTTGTTCTATATGAATAAAAAGGCAAATTACTTGTGATCATTCTGAAGTGCCAAAGAAGCCCCCTGTTCCTGAGCCTTCTGAGGGCAGGAGGGATAATCAGATAAGGAGCCCCTTCCTGTTGGGGAGAAGGGAGAGTGAGGAGCAGGTCGCTTTAGAGGAGCCCCAAATGCTGCTTGCTGCTGTGTCCCACGGTTTCCTCCCACTTTCCCCTGCTCCTGGCCCCTTGTTCCTCCGTAGTCCGCTCGGGTAGATAAAGAGTGAGCCTGGAGCCAGCGTTGGCCTGGCCCACTGCGTCGCTGTGCTGCAGGGTGATCAACTTCCTGTCAGCCAGGGACTGAGGAGGCTCCTGGGCCATGGGGCAATCCTGTCAGTCGCCCCACTGTGTGTCACAGTGTGCTGCGGGCCTGAGAGAAGGGCCCACACTGACGTTATTGTCTCTGAGGACTTTGATGCCACATGCTCTATTGTTGGCCTTCTTTTTTACTTTATTTTCCTATCTGGAAAAATCAACAAGTGATAGAATATGAGAGAAGGAGGGCAAGTGCCATCATTGCCTTGGAGAGGGCAGGACAGAGGTGGGCTTGGCCTGGTGAGAAGTCTGTGGTATAGAGATGCAACGTGTGGTGTGTGGACCAGGTGAGGTGGTGGGAGGAGAGATCAGGTAATGGGAAAACATTCCCTTGGGTTTGAGACCGGTGGTTCCAGGTGAGAGAGGAATATGTGGTCACAGGTGCAGGGAGTAGGAGCATTATGGTTTCAGGTCAAAGGATGCTGTTGGAGGAGTGGATGGAGGGTCCAGGTGAGCAAACTACTGCTCTAGGTGATTGGGAATGCTAGGAATAGATAGACCAACCCATATGCAGTTGGGCATGAAGGAGCCTTGGCTCATGGAGAAGGAACAGCATAACTCTGTGTGACGTGAAGATTAGTAGCTCCCATCTGCAGTAGCCCCCAAATAAAAGGATGTCTCTGGGTCTTAAACCCTGAAGACAGTCTGCCTAACAGTGCTGGAACCCAGCACTGGTCCTCACCTCCTGCTTTGCCACCTCCCCTGTCCTCTAGAAGCCCTCCAGCAGTGATCAGCACTGAGCAGGGGCCCTTGTGGCTCTAAGCATCTTCTCGTCTTAGATTCCCAGGCCTGTCCCCCAGCTGGGAACCTGGTGAGAAGCTGGTCCTTAAGTTTAGGACAACCTGACAGCCCCCCTCCCTCCATTGCCCTTTGAGGAGCGATTAAACTATAGAACCAGAGAAAGAACCACTAGGAGCAGAGTCATTTGAGCAATCTGAGCTGTAACACTCCAGCTCGTCTCATTCTGAAGACTAAGGTGATTCTGCTTTCTTAACCTGCCAGGAGGGTGGACACAGCCCACAGCTGCCACAGAGGAGGGCCACCTGAACGCTCCCTCCCGCACACAGAAGCAGGGAGATAAGAGCCTAGTCTATAGTCATGGAGAAATACAAAGTCCTATTGATTGCCTCTCCTATAGCCTTGCAGGGTTACCCCGGAGATGTGTTTACGAGGGTGATAACTAGCCCAGGATTGATTTCTTTCCTAAAGTCCTGAGCTACATGATTGAGCAGTAAGGAACAGCTGCATCACACAGTCAGCTGAAAGCACCCTGGGGAGAAGAGTGCTTCTAATTACGTTATTTATCTCTGGATGCTGAGACTGTCCTGATACTAGTGCTACCAGGTGATCCACTGACATTTCTCCAACCAGCGCATGTAGAGCCAGGGGCTGGGTGCGTGCTCATGGTGGTGCCTGCCTAGGTGGGCTACAACTGTTACCCGGAGGAAGATCAGGCTTCATTTTCTTTCCATCATCACTTTGGGGGCCCTGCCCTGGATGGTCAGATTTTCATATATATCTCTCTATTTTTTTAATCAAATTGTGGTCCCACTGCCTTATCTCACACCCAAGTCTGTTTTTCCTGCAAGATAACCTGTCTTCTGGGGGTATACCATGGATGTTTTCTTGGATAGCTTTGTTTAGAATGGGTGTCAGGGAGATGAAAGTGATGGAACCATGCATGGAGAGAGAGAAAGAGAGAGAGAGAGAGAGAGAGAGAGAGAGAGAGAGAGAGAGAGAGAGAGAGAGAGAATGAATATCTTTGAGAGAAAAGTATCCTGCTTATAAAAAAACCCTTAACACCTCATGGTGTTATTCTTCACAATGTTCATGTTATTTTTCAAATTTCCTACCCTTGGCATGAAGGAAAATGATTGGTATTCAAGCGAGTTCTCTAGAAAAAAAATCTTCCCAACTCAGATTTCTGTGTCAGCTCAGAATGTATCGTTTTTTCATGCTTTGCTCTTTGGATTTATAACTGTTTAGACTATTCCATACATTTTAGGTATATTTTGTGCCTTCAGACACTGCAAATAATAATCAGCATTTGGATTAAAGTTGTTTAATAATGAAACCTGACTTTGCTCCCTACCCTCTTCTTCTCTGGGGTAAAGAAATGCTACCTGCTTGTCCCCTGGCATGTTGTGGCCAGGAGTTGGATTCTGTCCCTTGGGGAGGACAGTCACAAGTGACACTTTGCTGACCAAGTAGGTCTCAGATATGCCTGGGGGTGGAGGCATGCCCTCCTACCCTTGTATATCCAGAGTCCCTCACTTTGACCAGGGGACAACGTGAGGGACAGGCTGAGAAGCAATTCTAATTTTTGGTTAACCTAACAGTTTCCTTGAAAATATGAGTTCTTGGAGAACTCCTAGGAGATAATTTGGACATATTATACAGAGAAGTGTTCCCATGGCCTTGTGGAATGAACATCCTTTTAGATGTCAGCTGATTTTGTTTCTCCTCTCCTCTCTACACTTACTCAGGCCTCAGATAAGTCATTTCCCTGTGCTTAGGCCTCAGCCTTACGGGGCTGTCATTGTTAGAGGACCCGCAGTGTGGCTCCTCAGTATTTGGCCCTCAGAAGGTCTGTAGGTACCATTCTCCAAAGAACATCCCAGTCATCTCTATAGCTCCAGGACCAACAGCCTGGGCACTGGGCCCCCATATTCATGTGCTCCCAGCTCCTCCCTTTGTGTCACAAGGCTCCCCTCTGACTTCTAAGCCTTCGTAGGAGAAACAACTCCCCTGTCAGCCTTGGGCCAAGTAGGGCTGACCTGAGGAGTATGGATTCCATGATCGAGACCTCAACTTCTAAGATCTGGGAGCAGAATGTCATTCTGGTCCTTGTTTCTAGTCCCTGCACCAATGAGAGACTTCTCAATGGCAGGGGCAAGCTCCAAAGGCTGGGGGTACAGACACCTGACAGACATTCCCAGATTATCTGAACAGACAGATGGATCTGGACAGGACTCCCAAAGGGCTAAGTTTTCTTAAGAAAAGGCAGCCTGGTTCCTAAATTCTAAATCCTCCCAAATCTTGCCAAGGTGAAACTAATTCCATACCTAATTTTGTCTTTCAAGCACTGAAAGAAGACCAAGGATACATAAAGGAAAAAAAAGGACCACTGGGCCTAAAGGCGATGGTAGCATGGAGGGAACATGGTCCCTCTGGCCAATGCTCTCTCATTTAACAGTCACAGAGATAGGCAAGATCCCATGGACACCTTGGGTCTCTGTGTGACCTTGTGCTTCCAAGACTAGGGGGTTCCTTACTCATGGGCCTCTTCCTTTCTTTTGAGTAAATATTCTTGAAGAACTCATTTTTCACTCCCAAAGGTACACGCTCACGAATTGGCATCTATATCTTAATAAAAACCTTGTTTTTCACTCTTTGCTTTGGCAACCCAAGAGCTGATATAAGCTCCAAACATTTTTGAACTGACTTTTCTTTGCTTTGACACAATGAAAGAGACCATTTCTGTTCATATTGTAGCATTTGTTATATTTAAACCATTGTTTTATTTCGTGCCTGCAGTTGCTTTTAATAAATGAAATTGTGTTTGATTCTTATTATTCTCACCCTTAATACCAGGAAACTCCAGATAGGTAACAATTTTCTATGCCAATAACTTTAATTTTTGTCTTTCCCCTCCTCTCCCTGGTATGCAGTTAGAGAGATTACTTTTGAATGAAGTATACCTATTTCAGATAAATAAGGTGAGATAATAGTCACCTCCTGTAAAGGAGAGAGGGACAATTGTCATTGATATCAAACATTCCTTCCAGCTTTCATTCTCTCACTTCTGAACTTCATATTGGGTGCTGAGCCCCAGAGAGTGGAGAGGTTCTTGCTACAGCAAGAAAAACTCCTGCTGGAGAAATTTGCAAAGGCCAATGGCCAGGATCTGGAAGAGGGAGTAGGCAACTAAATATGTCTCAGGAAGGGCTCAGTCACTGGCAGATTCAAGCATACAGTTGCCAGGGGCAACCAGGTATCCCAGATTAGAGGAAAACAAAACATTTGCCAACATGCTGGCATTTACCAACGCACAAAATAAGCATATACAGGCACGTGTACGCATATACACACACTCATGCACGTTTACTGAGGTCCCAGCACACACACTTACCATTTCAGGCACTCACAGTTGGAATTTAAAACACAGAGCAATGCACTTGAGCGATGGAAGCTGATTAAGGCCTGTTTGTCAGATCTGGGAAGCAGGGTCCAGGAGAGGAAAGAGGCCATTTCAGGGCTTCCCTGTCCAGTGCACAGTCTCAATGCAACCATCAGCCAAGTAGAGCTCTGCCGTCAGCTGCCAGAGAGGACACGTCTCCTGCAAAGAGGCTGCTTTCTGGCTAGGAGCCAGGTGTGCACTGTCAGCTGTCCTCAGTCACCAAACTGTTGTTCTGAAACCCTCTTGATTTTCAACCAGAATCCCTGAAATATGCAAAGACATCTCAAGCATTCTCCAAGGCATCCTAATTGTTTCCAAAAGGAACACACCTTGTCATGTCCACATCAGTGACCATTTATTGATCAGGTAGTGTTCCAGGGACTGCACTATTCCATTTACATACAAATGTACTCTCATTCTCAGATCAGCCCTGCAAGGTAGAAATTATTATCCAACATTTATAGACATAGAAAATGAGACTTGAAAAGGCATGGTCCCAAAGCTGGTAAG